AGAATAATTTAATTATTATTTATTGCCATTTTTACTTTCTTTAAAAAAAAAAAAAAAAAATCAGCAAAAAAAATTGTTTTGTCGTTTTCAGTGTTGGTATAGTTACTGTGATTTGCCTTCATAAAGCAGTATTGTGTCATTTTGGACACAAAACTTAATTAGGAAAGTTTAGGGCTGAGATACCAGATATCAACTAAATGAGACAACAGTGTACCTGGTCTCTGCATATTGTAATAAATGTTCTCTTGAAGAGAATGCAGAACTGAGTCGGAGAGCTTGTTGCGAAAGTATGGCTCTCAATATGCCCTGAATCCTGTAAAAGCAAGTGTAGGAAAGCAAAATTAGTCATTAGAAAAATTAAATAAATATAAAAGATTATGTTAAAGCATGAACCATCTGCCCCTGACAGCCTTTACTATTTAAAGCAGGTGTCAGAGACACTGCATGTACTCTTGTGCCAAGTACAGGCTTGTAAGTATCTTTTATATAATCATGTCTTTGGCAGTCAACTCTCATCAAAACATTAATTAGGAAGACAGTTATATCATATCAGTATATTTTGAGCCGAAAGAGACTTTTGAACACAGTGGATCACTTCATCTAGCAAACATCCTGACCGCAATTTGTGCAAGTAAGCATTACAGATGTTATCCACAGGCAGATTCTGAAAATTGCATCACTCACTTTGACACATTTTGCAGTGCATGGGGTTACAGTGGTTTTGTCGATACAGTTGCACTTTTGCTCTAATGCACACATGCCACCCTGAACAGCCTCAAACAACACTGGGTTCAAGTCCCCGTACTCTCCTGATGCTACTTCAATGACTAAACACAAAACAGAGGGGAAATGTATGACGCATGATATACTGGTGCCAAATTGATCATTGGTTATTGATTCTTTGTAATGTGAATAGACAGTTTTTTTTTCATCAAAATCACATTAATTGCAATTTCAAATATGTTCTATATTATCCTTAAAATCAACCAGATAGACATTAATTTTATGTATTTTTTTAAGAACCCGTAATACATTTTCTTTTCAGGATTCTTTGCTAAATAGAAAATGTTTAAAAGAACAGCATTTATTTGAAACGGAAATCTTTTGCATTAAAATCAAACTTACTGAAATCTGCAGGATTGTGGTATGTGGGACAGTGAAGA